TAATCCCCCCAACCATTTGCCTTGCCCCGATGAGGAGTATCTCAAAGGCTGCTACGAATAGTATTGGGGAAATAGTACACCCCATCGCAATTCCTACTTCGAGCCGCTGCCATCCGGTGGTGAAGTCCTGGAGGGAAAAACACATCTGCAAGTTGCTAAAGTACTGAGCGACAAGGCTCTTGACGCTGGTGGGCATGTGGAAAAACTCCATAGCATAGTTGATCAGCTGATGTGGAACTGATCCATACGCGTTGGCAAGATGAAGCCAGGTGACATGCAGGTCGGTCTTCTCCCGCTTGGCCTTCTGGATCTGGTCCCAGATCATAGTGGAGTGCTCTACACATCATGGGAAACCTGGAACTCCTGCCTTCTGGCAGTTGGTGTCAACACAGCCATTCTCGAGCAGGTAGTTGGTCATCCTCCTGGCTAGCACTGAGAAGAAGATCTTTCCTTCTACGTTCAGTAGTGCGATGTTCCGGAATTGGCTAATGTCTTTGGAGTTTGTTTCCTTAGGTATGAAGACTGCTACCGCTCTTTGCCACTCAGATGGGATGATTTGCTTTTTCCAGGCAGTTCTCATCAGATACCATAGCAGCTCTAGTACCTTGGGGCAGTTCTTATAAAGCTTGTAGGGGACCCCGTTGGGACCCGGTGCGGAAGAGGACCTTGCCTTCTCCACGACTTGCCTGACTTCGCTGAGCTTGGGGGGCATGATGTTGAACTCAGCCGTTGGCTTTGCCGGTTGGGGCACGTACCCTGGAGTTCCTAAAGGGACGCTCCTTTGTGGATCACTGTACTGCTCTTTGACATGCTGCTCCAGTTTCTCCTTGGTGGTTTCTAGCCTGCCACTCTTCTTTTCTTCCAGTAGTTGTCTGGCATGCTTGAAGGGATCCTTGAAGAAATTGGCTTGCTCTTTCTGCTTCCACTGGCTGCGCTTGCGGATGCGTTCGGCTCTGCGAAGCCCGGCTAGCCTTTTCCAGACCTCCTCCCACAGGACTTTTAGACCCTCTCTCTCTGCGTGGGTTGCCTTCCTCCAATTCTTTCGGAGTTGCCGACGCCTTTGCACAAGTTGGAGGATTTCCCTTTCCCTCCTTCCTTTCTCTCTCCTGGCGGTCCTCTGTTTGGGGACAATTTCGCCAAACCCGTCTTTGCAGGTCTGGTAGATTATGTCTCCAATTATGTTAAGCTTAGCCTCGGCCCCTCCACGCAGTGATCCCTCTAGGGTCTTGATCAGGTCGAAGTCCAACTTGCGCCATGCCTCTGCTTCATTTGACTTCGGCCACTTCAGCTTGCTCCTTCTGGCTGATTCTTTGGTATCTTCATTTGGCTCTGTTCTGTCTAGCATGTTGGGAACTGGGCCTTCATGCTCACGTAGAGGCTCAGCCTCCACCAGGGGACCTTCCTCTGTGACTCTCATGCCTTCAGCAACGTTGGGTCCTTCGGCTCTGTGGTTTTTTCCCTGGCTTTTGGTCCTTCTTGTCTCACCTGCTGATGCAGTGCAAGGTTGCTGTTGGCTCCTACTTGTGTGTCTTAGATATTAGCCGTTTCTCAATATGCGTACTTGTCTGTACTTGTGTTCTTGTGGACTTGTGAAACGTCATCAGTCGCTGCCCAAGTACTGTTCCAATTCAAAGTTCACATCTAGACAAGTCCACTTCAAATCCCCGGATGTGTTCTTGATCCGCCCCGTTTACCGAGGATGCATCGAGAGGTGACTTGTGTGGACTTGAGATAGCCAGGTAACCCAGAATGCACCTCGCAAGCGTCAATGGGAGAGGAGAAAATCCACGAAATATCAAAATACTACTGTTATTGAGTTATGAAATGTAATTTTAAGAGTGTTTCAGGCGAGAATGTGGTTGTTTAAATCTCAAATCTGTAGTTTATTTATAAAGATAGCGCCTATCTGAAAAATACATCTGACGTTTTCGGAGTTCTGACATCCAAGCCTTCAGCGGACACTCAGCGAGATCAACCCCGACTGGAACAGCTTATCCTCGGCTAGTGCTTCTGACGTTTGCCGCCGGCTCTGATCTCTCTAGTCTAGTGGATAAACCTTGACGTATAATAATTTGTCTTGTGTATAAGTCTATCTTTGGTCTCATTGAACTATAGTTTGTTCCATGGCAAAAAAAAAAAAAGTTTTTGAGGTTTCATAACTTTGTCTATTTAACTTTAACATTTTTTTTATATTATCTTCACTATATGAGTAATAAAATAAAATGACATAACCCTGTCTCTGTTTGATAAATGTCAATAAAAATCAATGTTTCATATTTTTAAAATGAAAACAAAAAGATCATGTTCATTTTGTTATAAATATATGCAGTGAAGAGAATCGCGTTGCCTGAACCACATGGCCATTAGGCTAATATTTCATTTTTTTGTTAATGAAAAGAGGCAGAGTGGTGTTTTATAACATATTTCGTTTTATTGTTGACGAAAATATGCAGAGTTGTAGCAAATTTTGTTTTATTGTTGCCTAAAATATAGGCTAAATAAAGAGAACCGGAGTAGAGCGTGCTGCTGAGTGACGCGATCAAGTACGCTCTGTTCCATTTGCAGAAGAACCGGACTTGCGTCCTCTCGTCCTCGGGAGTTCGTTCTCCGGAGTCGAACTTGGCAAGTCTGAACTACCAAGGACGCAAGTCCGAAGTCTGCGTACTTGGTATTGAGAAACGGCTATTATGATCAGTTTTCTACCTGCTTCACCATGCCCTGAAGAAGGCACGCTACGCGTGGGCTTTTTAAATTTGTCCGTTTAGGACATTTCATTTGTATAATAAAGACATTTTAATGAAGGAGTGCCTCAGTCATCAGAGATTTTTTTTCTCTACTGTTTCCTTGATGTCCTACCTTGGACCGAAGAGCACCCAGGTTGAACTTTTTAAAAAAGGAATTGAGCACGCCACTCATCTTGAATCCAAACAACTTTAAAACAGCTTTTGCTAACAGCTTCACAACTTCAGATGAAGCAGAGACTAATGAACAAACAACTATAACAAAGAACACATTGATTATCGGGAAATTACACCATAATAAGAACAAAGGGGACATAAACCTTAATTTCTGCAATATAATAATTAGTTATAAATAATTATAAATAATTCAGTGTTTATTTTGTCTTTTTGGATATATGACTTTTTTATGCTGGGGTGCAAACTTAAGGATGGAAGCAGCATCTTTGTTTTTGTCCAGAGGAACAAAATTATCTTGAATGAAAATATTTTTCAGAACTTCGTATAAACCTAATTTAAAGCTGAATTCCTCAAATAGATTTGGAATTCTTCAGATCGAAACTCTCTCAGTAAGATGTATGTGTCACGAACACATACACAGGGAACAGATATCCAATAGCAGCAGTTTATTGGTAGGGTAATCCAAATCTCATAGTCAGCCAGGCAAGGGTCAAAATCTAATAAAGCAGTCCAAAACAAGAAAAACAAAACATAAAACAAACTTCAAAACAGACCTCAAGGAAAGTGACATACAACAACGACTCCGTACACATACTAACACTGACAGGGAATATATACACAAATCCGGCAAAACGCGGAAGCAAAGCAGCGCCGCCATTACTGCGGGCCTTGCTGCTGCAGAAGTAGCATTGTTCTCATAGCAGATTCTATAGCAGATGTGAGATGTTTTTATTTAGTTATTTTGTGAGTATGTCCAGTGATGCCGGGAAGATCGTGTTGTGTGGATGGCTGTTTTAACAATTTTCTCTGTATTGTTACTGACACATTATGGTACGTGTTCACTGCCTGTGAAAACCTCGACACCTTTTAATGTGTCGAGGTTTTCACAGGCAGTGAACTCGTACCATAATGTGTTACATTTATAATGTTAAAAAGATTTTTTATTTCGGATAAATCTACTTTGAATCTTCTATTCATCAAGGAATCCTGACTTTTTAAAAAGAAAACATTAATAATAATCAGAAATGTTTCTTGGGCAGCAAATCACATCAGCATTTTATTACCTCGGTAATATTTAACGTTTTCTTGCGTGGCTGGATGTTGAGTTTGTATGGTCTGATGCGCGTGTGGGCTGTGATGGATTATGACCGGTGTCGTCGTGATCATTCTCAAATGTTGTGTTGCTGGTGTAGTCAGTGGTTAGATCAGTAGCAGTCTATTCTGCACTACAAAGGCAAAGCGCAGTAACTACACATTTGGTCAAAAATTAGTTAAGACTTGTAATGGGCTTTATGGCATGTGTTCTGTCTTGTGAAAAAATATCTGGGTTAAATTATGTCCCGTTTCGGAGATGCATTAACGTTACCACATAATCTATCCATGAGATGTTTGACTGGCTGGTATAAAAACTTTAAAGGCCTCTTTCTCCATCTCTTTGTTTGCGTAGCGTTAGTTAGTGCATTTTGCCGGGGAAGTATTTATTTGTTAGTTAGTGCATTTTGTAGGGCAGTATTTATTCGGTACAGTTGGCATGTGAACATATGATATTAGCAACACATCTATGACAGCGTTCGGTTTTATTGTTGTCATAAATTAATACACGTCTTAATTACATTACATTAGGCTGACGCATTTTTACAGTAACACATGTTGTCAATAAATTACCTTTATCTGTAAGTTTTGGCCACTGCCTGACATCATCTACCGGGTACCCAATGTAAACCAGACTTTTTATTTCATAAGCAGGATCCTCTTTCATTGAAATATCATTAGAGGGCCGTCACCGCCACACACGCAAGATGGCGGCGCCCATGGAGTTCGCGGCGGATTTGTGTATACACATCTCAAACAGGGTTAACACAGAATAGCTGGGAACAATGATAACGGGGTACAGCTGAGTGCAATGAACTAATAAGTGATAGTGACAGACAGAATGCTGGGAAATGCAGTTAAATGTGAAGGACACAGTGAGAACGAGGACCTCTAGTGCTAAATAAGGGAAACACAACCAGACACTGTGACAGTATGCCCCTGGAACACTTAGAGATGAAACTAAACTGAGTAGTTATTTTTTTTTCTCACCTCGAGTAAGACGCTTTTCTTGAAGTGTGAGAGATTGCAGTTCCACCCATTTCTCACGAAGAGTTTGCTGTGCAGAGCGAAAACATGTAAAATGAGATCAACGTCTATGAGTCATTGTGGTAAATGTGTATGTACAGTAAGTGGATCAGCATTCAATAAGATGCCTCAGCATTCATGGTAACAAATACACTACATTATATACAATTCAGACTGCCTGGGATTTCTCAGTTATGCTGTGTATCTTTCTGAGTAAGGTTTCAGCTCTGTGTAATGTGGTAAACACACACTAAGATGCATAAATACACACCTTAAGATAGCGCATCTTTTTCTCTAATTCAATTCTCTTCACAACACTCCCGCTGACTGTCTCCAACCTTCACACACACACACACACACACACACACACATATGCATAAGAAGAGGAGAAAAGAGAGTGGTTTAAATTAATACATGAATGGTCAAAGCATCTTTTTTTGTAGATGATTATGTAATATACAATTTTTTTTGCTATTAGCTGTTGGTTGCTAGGATGTTCTGCTAACAAGTCTATATTTATATAAAGTTCTGGGTGGTTGCTAGGTGGTTAGACATTAGCCCAAGTCAAATGAGTCCTTGTCTCTGTGATATTCTGGATAGGGTTGTACCAGTCATTCCTAAGTTCTTGCTGACACTGGAACATTAAGTCCACACTAGAGGCTTAGTAACTACTATCTAGTTTGAAAAACTAACTCTGTACTTTATTCGGTTGCACTATTTGTTCATAAGGCAAAACATAGCTAGTAAGTCGTCTCAAAGTGACATAATATGTTGATTACCCTCAATGATCCCACAACAGCTTTCAAATAGAGCAAAAGTTGTTTTGAAATGCTGTGACTTTCAGGTTATCCTTCATTCTAAATTTTTTTTACCTCATAACTAATTGTGAAAATAAATTTCCACTAAATATGATACTTAATCATGAATAACATAATTGGTATTTATAAAAATTGATCAATAAATAAATACTGATACAATATAAAAAGAAAAAATATTTTTATTTGTTATGACTTATTTTATTTGGCATGCACAACAAAGAGCGATCCACACAACTGCACGCTGTTTAGGATGTGTTGAAGAGCTGACATCTCTTCACAAGTAATCACACTGACACAAATAATCTATTCATTTAATGTTTTCTCTCTTAAAATGTAAGCGAGTGTAAATGTCAGCATTGTCATATTTGTCCAAAGAATTCAAGTCTGTCGGGTAAAACAAGAACTTATTGATGCAGTTCAGTCATTTTTTTCCAACCATTACTCCTGATTGGAGGCTTCTGTAAATATTTAATTTATATACATAGTTACGCTTCAACTAAGTTTAATGGAGTTACGCAAAAATATGTAGTGGTGCGTAAGTTTTTTAGTGCCCATTTATGTCAAAAGTTGTAACTTACACAGCTGGTGCATCCATAAACTGTTAGACTACTCTTACAAGTAAGTCTATTTTTGTTCATAAATTTTTTACGTCGGTTACATATAAACCTTCTAAGTTTATGCAACTGGCCCACGGTGGATCAGGACATGGATCCACCAGCTGTTTGTAGGTTCTTAAAATCCAGTGCAGCTGCACAGTGGAACAGAATTTCTCCCCCCAAAAAATTACCGTGTTGGCAATTAAGTGTTGGCAATTTTACAAATTAAGTGTTGGCAATTTTTTTTCCTATTTAAAACTTGACTCTTCTTATACATCGCCTTAGTTACATTGTGCACGAAGACAGACGTAAAATGTAAAGTTGCGATTTTCTAGGATGATATGACTAGGAACTATCCACAAGTTTCCGAGGGTCGCTCCTGTAAAAAATAAAGTGGGTGAAACTTCCGGTGAGGCGGCGGAAGTAGCATTCAAATGGTATTTTGTGTGTTAGTTAGCGAAGTGGCTAGCTCTTTTTCTGAGAATTATTTTACTATTTAAAGACGCAAATCTTTATGAGAGATGTCGTTACGGAGCTCAGGGACAACATGTGCTGTTCGCGGTTGTATGTATAACTGGTCTAAACTAATTCAGTGGCTTAAACGTGATTGTTTTGAACATAAGCTGAAAACGAAATCAGAGTGATCCTGCCAGAGCCCGTCTCTGATCCTGCCAACGACTGTAGTTTCCATCACCTCCCAAAAGACGACGAATCTTCCTGTGTACATTTGTTTAAATTCTTAATATTCTATAAACTCTATCAGCATGTGATTGGCTGTTCGCTACTGATGTTACACCTAAACTCAGGATCAAAGCCTGTGATGACAGAATACCAAATGTGCCAGTTTGTATTCAAGTAGCACATTCATTTATAATTTTGAATAAACTCCAAAGCACAATGACTAAGTGTGTATTTTTTATTTTAATTGTTTGTCAGCTCGCACAACTGTCTGTCACCATGCCTTGATGAGTATTGATTATTAATAATGTTATTATAATACTCCCAATCAACTACTGCGGAGGTTAAAGGTACTGTTATTTCACCCTTTTTAATTTCGTTGAGGTTGTGTTCCCACATCGTTAGCTAGTTTGGATCGCTATAACTTGAATGACTGTCAACTGTTGAATGAACGAGTGTCAAGCATGTCAAGTCGCGCTTTGTTTACTTCCAACTGGAAGTCGCGCCCACTTTTAATGCAAGGCCTCATGAGGCGTACGAAACTTGTGGATACTCTCATTCCTGCATAATAATCAGGAAACTTCACTGTCGTACCATGAGTGCAGCAGGCGTAATGTTATGACGCAGCGCCTGAAAATAGTGCCCAGCTTCCAACGTGACCGGGACTAAGTTTGTGTAGTCATCGCGCCTGCTGGACTCATGGTACGGCAGTAAAGTTTCTTGATTATTACGCAGAAATGAGAGTATAGTTCCCTGCATATCAGCCTAGAAAAAAAAAAAAAATTTTGGGAGGAATGCTAATGGTTTTGTGCACTTCAATTATGTATGCTAAGCTATGCTAATAGTGGTACCGCCAGAACCGGAGATCAGCTGAATGGATTCAAAAAAGGTAAAACTCAACAGTTTAACTCTGGGGGAGTTGTAAAATGAGCGTATTACCAAAAAAAGTGGAGTATCCCTTTAACGTCAGTTAGATTACGCTATCTAATCCTAACCCTACCCCAGACCTAAACCTACGTAAAGCATCAGTTAGATGACGCACTAGGATAATGTGTGTACCATGAGCGCTCCGACTGACCTGAGAGAAAAGTTTACAGTCCGAATATTTCAGCAGTCCTTATCTGTGTCCCGTATTTTTGTCGACAGTAACCAGCGATATTAATCATTCATTGGTTTGATTATTTCCTTTCCATGAATTGGCCAAACGCGCGTGCATAACGGTCTGAAACGATTCGGATTTGTTCACCTGAAGCGTTTTCTAAGGTCAGTAATAACAAATAGAGAACAAAACAGCGTTGGTTTCAGTTGTTTCACTAGTTTATTTTGAACTAGGCAGCACGGCCCAGTGGATAACGAAACACAAAGCTTAAAGGAGTTGTGTTTACTCCCGGTCCCGGACCCTATTATTAAACAACGTTGTGACATCTAGTGAGAAGCGTTTCAATCAGACAATCCTCTCTCTTACAAACCACAAATCACTCAATGATTTTATCTAGTTTTAAATCGGATGTAACAGCCTTAACATTCCCAATAAATGTGGAATATTTATATTGAATACTATGTTATAGTCATTTATATTGCATTCGATTTATTAGGGGGGGTAGAGGAATATATAATTAATTGTGTATATAGTTTTTTGGTCATACATATTTTGTTAATACATACATTCTCTTCGTGATATATGAACTATATGGGCCTTATGTTTATTGGGTCACAAAGATTTATCGACTTTAAAATGTGGGTCCCCAGAAAAAAAGTTTGGGAAACACTGTTAGATGACGTCTTGGGAAGAGAATGTGTTGTACTCTTGTACTCAAGTGTCAAAGCGCATGGTAACTTTGTGGGCGGGTTCCGGTGCTGTTGCTATTTTCCCGGCAGGATAAATCCCTCTTGTGCCTGGCGCAAATCTAAAAGAGGTTGGTCTGAAGTAGCTTCATTATTCATAGGTGTGGTTTGGGCGTAACGTGAAATAAACCAATCCGAGCGCCATCCAACATACCGTTTAAGAACAGGTGCGCATGTTGCATGACGGATTGTTATTATAACGGCGGTTACCAGGCCGCGCCAGGAGCGTTCACAGCCGATGAGACCGACGTTCTTGTCAGGACAGTGAAAGACAGAGAGGTGACGTTGTATGGGGATGGGAGAAACTCTCGCACATCAGCGTCGGTTAAACATTATAGCCTATACATATGTTTCTTGCCACTATTGGGCAAACAGGTCTGATCCTTCAGTACTACAATTAGCCTTAAAAATGGGTAATTCTTCATGTAAACCACAATGATTTCCCTCATGTGTTAATATTTTTCCTTGTTATAATGTATGATTTGCAAAAATAAAAACTACTGCATCTGTGTTGATGAGAGAATCAGTGTATGGGCAATTATGGGCAAGCATGCGCACTTAAAATAGCATTATATACAACACGCAACGCGCCACTGACTTTAGACCAGGTTTTTTCTGGTCAGTGGCGCAATTGTTTTCTGGAAGTGTAAAATAGCTCCAGGGAATGTTTGCGCTGAAACACACCCTCTTTTTTGCGCCGATCCGCCCAGGGAGCCCAAGTTCATTCCCTAATTTACCGACGTGCGTCTGTGGAGGGGAAAATCCCGCTTTGCGCGCGTGCAAAATAGGAATGAGACATGCGTTTGTGTATAAAGTCATTTGCGTAAAAAATATCTAGCATAAAAAATATAGTATAGTGCATAAATTGTAACTTAACTACATCACAACTAGACTGAGTTGTAACTTGAGCATAGCTGGTGCACATGTTCCATGGTCTCCCTAGAATTTTTGTTTTCCATCCATTTTATCATCCATGAGTCTGATCACTCAGTAGCACACACATCTTCAATCTCAACACACGTTATTTGTGGATAGGTTATCATTCATGACCATATAGCACAAAAATATTTTTTACTTATACTCACTTCAGCATGTTAGTGGAGTCTCTAATCAGCTCAATAATATGTTGGTGGGTGGAACCCTCAATACTGACTCCATTTACTGACAATATAATGTCACCTGTCAGAGAGAGAGAGATTTAAAAGAAAATACGGTAACACTTTAGAATACGGTTCCTTCGTTAATGAATAACTACACAAGAACTAATGACTAACACAATATTAACAATCTAGTAACTATTATTAACTAACAAGAAACTCTGATTAATGAACTAGTAAGTAATAGCGCACAGACGAAAGTGGTAGTTCACTATTAAGTAATCAATAACTACTATTTTTTTAATACTTCCCAGAGAACTACTGAAAAAGTTTATTAACAATCTAGTAACTACTATTAACTAAAATAAATTCTTATTAACGAATTAGTAAGTGATGAAAGTGTTACTAGATACTTCTGTGGGAATTACTAATTATTTGGATCCGTATTATAAAGTGAAGATCATTGAAACTAACTAGTAATTACTCAAGTGTTACATGATCTAGTCATGATTTGTGCAACCGTTTGAGATTTTTGGTGAACTTTAGTATACTTTTAGAAAATGTCTTTAGTAACACTTGAGTAATTACTAGTTAGTTCCAATGATCTTCACTTTATAATACGAATCCAAATAATTAGTAACTCCCACAGAAGTATCTAGTAACACTTTCATCTGTGAGCTATTACTTACTAATTCGTTAATAAGAATTTATTTTAGTTAATAGTAGTTACTAGATTGTTAATAAACTTTTTCAGTAGTTCTCTGGGAGGTATTAAAAAAATAGTAGTTATTGATTACTTAATAGTGAACTACCACTTTCGTCTGTGCGCTATTACTTACTAGTTCATTAATCAGAGTTTCTTGTTAGTTAATAATAGTTACTAGATTGTTAATATTGTGTTAGTCATTAGTTCTTGTGTAGTTATTCATTAACGAAGGAACCGTATTCTATAGTGTTACCGAAAATACTCATTACAGAGCTGGCAATTTTTCATGTTTAATTTAATATTCTCAATAGCATGCTTAGAGGTGAAATGAGTGGTGTTTTAGTGTTGTTGTTTTAGCCTGACCAGCTCCTGTCATAGCTGTCTTTTGGCCATTTGCACTACTGTTACTTTAGCATACATTGGTTTAATTATTTTGCACAAAATGCAAACACAAAACAACATCTGCTTCTTTGATTTTCCCACTTGTGATATGCAGCTACTTAAACAGCATGCCTCCAGATGCCTGCTAAGTTTTCCAAATGTAATGCACTCAAATTGCTACCTTGCCCTGCGCAATGTGAATTGTAAATTTAATGCTGTTATCAACCCTTTTCATGATTAGTTAATCATCTGTAATCATAAAAACAAAACATTTCTATATGTTAAATACTTATTTCAAATGGAAAAACTTTACCCAATCACAACAATGACCATTCACACACTTAAGTCTTAAATGTGCTGTTTAAATCAGACGGTCCAAAACATATTTGGAAATTTCTAAATGGTGATAGTTTCTTTTTGTAAATATCTTATTAACATTAAAAGTGGACCTCATGTAATATTAAAAAGTTAACTCCCATTGAATGGAAATTGACAGGCTGATTAGTGCTTTCCATTGAAAAAAATAAATGCTTCATGCTTGACAAAACATGAAAGTCCATGAAAACAGAAGAGAGCAGTACATCCGCTGTGTTAAATGTAGATGTGGTTTAGGCTGGTAAATAAAATAGCATGTAAACAAGGTCAGGTCAAATGGGTGGAGTGAGTAACAGAAGAGGAAACGGAAAACCTGCTCACCAGCAGTCAAACCTGCAGTTTCGGCTGCACTGCCATCCTGCACACTGCACACAAATGTGCACATCTCCACCATACTGCTGTTCTTCACCTTTAGACCATATGTCTGCACAAAGAGACACACATCCCAAACAACTGTTACTGAAAATATCCTTAAAAACATTTATGCTTGTTCTAAAAATATTATCTTATCAATTAGGTCACACTAAAAATATCAAAGGAAGTAGCATTTACAACTCTGGAGACATAAAAAAGCATTTAATGCAGTGTGAAGCATTGCTTAGGAGTATAAAAACAAACCTGGACTTCAAATCCAAAGGCTTCATTGTCTTGTTTCTCCAATATAACCACTGTTCTGCACAAAACAGGAGAGATGTGAACCAAATATTTGCATGAGAAACATCAGACATTCATAGAGAATCAGTAAATCAGGCTTACCTCTGAGGGTCAGTGTAATCCACCAGAGATGTCGAGTGTGTTCTGCTCAGCTGTAAAAGAATAATTCTCAGATTATTTTAATGTGATTAATCAGATTAATCCAAAATTATGTAAAACTCTAAGAATCTTGTAGGAATTGTTATTTTGCAGGAATGCATGTTAAATAAATTTAATTTGATTCTGAATAGTTGATCCATAACAGCTGAAAACTTATAAATACATTTAAAAAAATATTCATTCAGGATATTTTGACAAAATGGATTTAGGAAAGTTTATTTTGTTAGACCAGTTAAGTTATATAATTAGAACCTCTCTGCATTCATGTTGGCATAAAAACGATATTAAGATCCCATCACTGTATTTTGATTGTCCCACCTGACTGCGTGATAATGTCCCGCCTTTGATTTCTTCAGTGTTCAAACTTTTGGCACTGTTGAAAGATCGTCGTCGCCAAAGTGTGCTTTTCTTCTTTTGAGAGCTGTCGATTATGTTGCTGTCCAGGCTGTTCAGCTGTTTTAAAGGTGCTTTAAAGTTCTTATTGGATGTCATCATGCTTCTTTATTCTTAGAACCACAGCACACAACTGCAGGCTTCAGTGTGACCTGTCTGTAGTACAGGCAGCGGATATAACCACGTCACATGACTATCAGGAACTAAAGGCACTGAAAATCTGTCTGTGGGGGTGTGTTGACCATCTTTTACGGTTCCTTTTTTTTCTCTCATCTATTCTTTCACTTTTTTCATCTTTAGCTAGTGTGCTGTGGACAGAAATTGTGCATCTTCCCTGTTGTTGTTTCCTTTTTTTACTTTTAGCTATATTTGCAGTCGTCTGAGAACAAATATGCATGAACAGCCACAGTCTTGACAAATCTCTTTCATCTGTTTCCATATCTGCACAGCTTTCACTTCTCTCTATCTTTCTGTGGACAATCACTTGTTAAGTGGTCTACACAGAGGACTTCTGAAAGCTCAGCTGGCGTAGTGAGAAACAGGTGACAATGAAACCCTCAACACTAGAGCAAACAACCCAATTCACTGAGGTTTATAGCTTCTGAAATTCCACTGGATAACAACAGATGTAGATTTGAGTCTAGAAAGCAAAATCTCTGGTGTGAAAACTGCCTGGTGAGTAAAAACCTTTAAACGCCCCTTCTGTTCTTAAGTGGTAGGGTCATTTTAACCTACTATCCCCGAACTCGGTACATGGGGGAATCTAAATTAAGTGCATTTTACTTAAAACAAGTAAAAATAATCTGAAAAATTATCTTAAAAGCAAATGGAAACAAGATTATTTTTTCTTAAAGGGTTAGTTCACCCAAAAATGAAAATTAAGTCATTAATTACTCACCCCCATGCTGTACCAACCCCGTAAGACCTTCGTTCGTCTTCGGAACACAAATGAAGATATTTTTGATTAAATTTGAGAGCTGTATAACTACCACATTGGCTCCTAAAGGACTGCCTCTTGACGGCCCAGAAAGTCAATGAAGAAAATGTTTAAATATCCCAAGTGACTACCGTGGCTCAACTTAACACAGTCTCATCCCAAATCGTCATATAACTGACGTTTTGGGACGTATTTTGACCATACGTCAATATCCGCCTTTTTGGGGCCCCCTTAAACGTCGGTAGATGGCGATCCCGGGCCGTCATACAACTGACGCTTTACCTTTAACGTCAGTTAGGTGACGGGTTAGGTTTAGGGTTAAGTTTAGGTATGGGGTAGAGTTAGGATCCCATAACCTCATCTACCGACGTTTAAGGGGGCCCTAAAAAGTCGAATATTGACGTATGGTCAAAAGACGTCCCAAAACGTCAGTTATATGACGATTTGGGATGAGACCGGGTTGCTCAACTATATGTTTATCAAGCAACGCGAATACTTTTTGTGCGAAAAAACAAACAAAAATAACGAGTTTATTCGACTATTTCTTTTCTTCCTTGTAGGCCAGAACGAGACTTTCTGTGTCTCGTTCTGGCCTACAAGGAAGAAAAGAAATAGTCGCGTAAACACGTTATTTTTGTTTGTTTTTTCGCACAAAAAGTATTCGCGTCGCTTGATAAACATATAGTTGAGCCACGGTAGTCACTTGGGATATTTAAACATTTTCTTCATTGACTTTCTGGGCCGTCAAGAGGCAGTCCTTTAGGAGCCAATGTGGTAGTTATACAGCTCTCAAATTTAATCAAAAATATCTTCATTTGTGTTCCGAAGACGAACGAAGGTCTTACGGGGTTGGTACAGCATGGGGGTGAGTAATTAATGACTTAATTTTCATTTTTGGGTGAACTAACCCTTTAACCCAGTGGCAGATAATTAGCAAAATTAAAATACACTTACATTTTTAAATTAGTATTAGACTAAATAGCTTGTCATTTTTATTGTGTAGAAAATGCATCTTGTTTTAAGAATCTTTTGATATTTTGACTGGAAAACACAAAACAAAAATCCTAAGTAAGATTGTTTTTGTAGTGCAGGTACATTCATTCATTGTGCATATTTTCATCACTCAAGTGACAAAAATGGCAAGTCCTTTTATACAGGATCCTGTTGATGACGAGGCAGCATTAATTTGTAGGGAGTTACATTTACGTTGGCAGAAGGTTTTTAAATGGTAGTTTTCTATATAACATCGGGGGCGCAGAGCACATTAGTAAGGTTGCTCTATGCAGAGCGGTAAGGAAAGTGCGTTACGATCTCACGCTCTTTCTTAGAATTTTTGTGTTGTTTCCTGAGCACAAACCCGTGAGAGCCATCAAAGAGGAGTTTCACAGGATTGCAGGTCAGTGCTGTAGAAATCAGTTTAAATGAGGCTAATCTGATGTATGACGTTCACTTGATAAAGGTTTACCTCTCACGCCATCACCCTGAGCGTAGGAGCGCCACAGGGCTGTGTTCTGAGTCCACAACTTTACTCTCTCTACACACATGACTGCGTGACTTCACACAGCTCCACTTCTATTGTCAAATTTGCTGACGACACAGTGGTCCTGGGCCTTATCTCCAACAACAATAGCCGCTTTCCGACCGGAGGGACTTTTGCAGTTCCTAGAACCTAACGTTCCTATAACCCTTTTTTTCTCGTATTCCGACCGGACTAAATTGGGGATTTTTTAGTTCCTCAGACCGTAGTTCCTATAACTCTTTCAGTACCTACTCTAGACCGAGGACTTTGTTAGTTCCCTTTCCCTAGGTCAACGTTGATTGGTTCAACTTAAAAGTCATGCCCACTGTCAACACGGAACTTGTAGCGCACTGTCTGCCATACGCTGTGTGTTTTTGCAAAACTTTACAACGAAGATTAAGACAAACATAACGCATTCAACCAGCTGATTGCTAATAATAGCTAAACTTACCCGTCGTTTTGTTTGCCTCCTGCGCTCTGCTCTTTTATCTTCTTCCATCATATTACTTAATATCATATTACGCTGGAGCCTTCGTCTTCTGTGTTTCTCTGTACAGAACTCAAGCGTAATCTTTAAACACCGCCGTTCGTTCTCCGTTATTAAGGTCCCGGTGTTCTGATGATTCATGCTACCCGTCGAAATTTGCTACTTACTGGTTATGTGCATACGTGCAGACTCAGTTTTTTTTTTTTTTCGTTTTTTTAAGTCGTGCGCTTAGCTGAGCGCATCTCTGGGTCTCCTCTTCCACCCTTACAAGACTTCTACCTCAAACGCTGCAAGAGCAGAGCAAATAAAATCATTAAAGACTACAATCATCCACATAACTGTCTCTTCAACTTGCTGCCATGCCATCTGGTAAGCGATACCGCAGTTTGAGGACTAAAACAGAGAGGTTCAGGAGAAGCTTCTTCCCTCAGGCCATCAGGGTTATGAACTCGGTCTCTTAACAGAGAGGCTCAGGAGGTCTCTTAACATCATCCGTGCTCTGGATATCAATATCTGGACTATTGACTATTATCTATTCTTGCATTATTTTGCACTTTATACTGCTGCTAGGTAACTATTTTGTTACCATTGTCTGTACATTTCTGAATGTAAATATTACCAGTCTAGCCTATTTTTACAGAGTTATATTAATAGAAATTTTATCTTTATTTATTCAAATTGCTAATTTATGTTTAGTAATTTTTTATATAATATTGCACTATCTTGGAGCGGATCCTATTTTACATTTCACTACAGGTTGTATAGTCTGTATAACTGTGTATGTGACAAATAAAATCTTGAACCTTGAACCTTAATGTCTTGCTGCAACCTCTGGAGGTAACCTAATAATACAAAATTACTTTAGGATTTTGTTACAGATCTGCCAGGCTCATGCACCAGCCAATCACAGCGCACTCCCTCTCCTGAGTTCTAATCACACACATCTGCACCCGCTTCACCTCAGCTATTTAAGCACTCATTGTCCGGTCTCGATCTCGTACAAAGTGGACACATTACCTTGTTTTCTCCAGCGATTCTCCTAGTGATTCAAATGCTGTCTCCAAATTATCATATGAACTGTTCACTTACCTGATTGCCTCATCCACCTCACTGTTTGTCAATAAAACCGCCTGTTGTACAGTATCTCATTCTTTTTGTCCGAGTGTGCTTCCATAAATGGTTGCCAATGTGGTTGAATGCATTGATATGCATATTCCCATCATCGCATCTTCCGAAAATGAAACGGATTGCTGTGTAGAATGGAATGGAAGAGTATTTCTGAGACATAATCCGTAACCAGCACCACAGCTGTTAAATAAACAAATTATTCACAATTGATTTGGTCATCTTTATTTTTTAAGCAACAGTTATTATTTTTCCTGTTTGACTCTGGAAAGGCATGGTGTATCCTTAAATTTTTATGTGGATGACAATCAGTTCAATCTTTATTTGCATGTCTTGATGAGGTAAAGCTTTGGCTGGCAAGTAACTTTTTAACCCTAAATGACTCAAAGACTGAGGTTACAGTGTTTGGCCCATCTGACAATTTTAAGTTTAATAACTCTATTTTAGAAACTATGTTACCTTTTAATTGAGAGTCTGTTTGGAACCTTGGTGTCCTTCGTGACAGTCGGCAAACTCTAATAAACATATATCCTCTGTTGTTGCCTCTAGCTTATTCAAGCTCTGTCTCCTTTCTAAAAAATTTACATTTTCTGCAGTACACGCTTTAATAACATATTGATTGGACTATTGCAATTCTTTAAACTCTCCTTTGAACTTTTCTATTGTGTTTATCGGACTTGTACAGACTTGCTTTATAAATAGTAAACTAGAACTAGAACAATAAAATTGATTCTCAAGCCTTCACTTTAGCAGACAACATCTCAACGTTGAAATACCATATCCTCAGACTGTGTTAGAAACAGCCAGTTGTCGAGATAATTCAATACACAATGGGGCAGGTGAAGAGAGCCTCTTGCATCTCCAAACATCATATGAGATATTAGGAGCCTCTGCACAAATCAGACAGATCTGGGCCAGAGAATGTCTAATTGAAGAGAATTGGCACTGGCTGGTTACTTCCGGGTTCTGGACTGACTGCAGTAACGCGTCTCTGTCCATGCGGGGGCGCTCGCGGTCGAGTGCAGAATGAATGGGAGTCAATGGGGTTTCACCCCCAGAAATCCACTTTTCTCAGAATGTAATTTTTTGTCAAGTAATTTGAAAGTTGGATTCAAAAGGGAG